GGGGAGGGACAGATAATAACCAAGTTGGCAAATAAATAACAATCCTGGTTGTTTATATCCTGAAGAGTACAAAATGGAGGACTGCAATAGTGACTGGAAGGGCTACGCAAACTTGAGTGGTCGGGAAAGACTTCTCTTTTAGGGAATTTTTGAGCTGAGACCTGAATTTTGAAAAGCCAGTTAGGCAGAGATATGAGGGGAGAATGGTCCAGAAAACAGAGCGTGTGAAGGGACCCGAGGAAGAAGTGAGTTACGGTAGCCAGTCTCCAACATGGCCCCCAATGAGCTTTGCCTCCTGGTTTTCAGGTCCTCGAGTCACTCCCTCTTACGCTGAAAGAGTTGAGCTGGGTGACCGTTAAGGTATTGTGGACATGAAAGCATGTGATGTTTGAGACCAGGACATAAAAAACGAGTCGCAGCTTCCACCTTGCTGTCTTGGGTCACCCCCTCTAGGGGAGGCCAGCTCCTATATCATGAGGACACCCAAGAAGCTCTAGTTGAGGGGACAGAGGTCTCCCACCAACAGCCAGCACCAATTTGCCAGGCACGTGAGTCACCTTGGAAGCAAGTTAAGCCTTCAGATACCTAAAGTTTCAGCCAACATCTTGACCGTGAGTCAGAATACCCAGCTAAGCCATGGCCAGATTCTTAGCCCATAGGAAGTATGTGAGATGACAGATCTGTTGTTTGGATCCACTTAGTTATTCAACATCCTAATACATTAGCTTGAGATGCTGGAGGCAGCCAGAGGGCCCGCGGGCCTGAAATATGGCGACCGAGGGGCAGCGTGGTACAAAATGAGGTCAGTAAGACGGACAGAAGCCCACATCACCTGAGCTCCTTCTGTGGTTAGGATGTTAGATTTGAATCTAAGTGTGATGGGAGCCCACTGGCGTGGCATGATCTATCTTTGCAAGAGGAATATTCTGACAAGACAAAGGGGTATTTGTGATCTCACAAAAATGAAAAGATCAGGATCAGGCATAACTGGATCCAGGGACTCAAAGAATATCATCAGAAGTCTGTCTCTGAGCATCTCCAGGCCCTGCTTTTCTCTGCGCTGGCTTTACCCTCAGTCGGGCTCTCTCCGTGTAGCTGGGAAGATGCCCTTGAGCATCTCCAGACTAACTTTGACTGTAAAGCTGGCAAACACAGGGAAGACGGTGCAGCCTTCTCTTCTTTCACGGTGAAAAGAACTCAGATGGGCCCTGCTCAGGTCACATGCCCACCGGGGTTGGCTACAGTGGTCACGGCCACCCTGGAACATGAAGACCACATGATTGACAGCCCTGCCAGAAGCCCAGGGAGTAGGAGAGGGTCAGTTTCCAAAAGGAAAGGATGCAAGCCAAGCGTAAAACAAACCAAAAAAAAATTAGCCATTGCCCACTGTGGACAGGTAGAAATCAGTTACATTGTACACTATTTATATAATTGAATGAGAATTTAGGGTCTAATCATCATTGACCTGTAAGCACCTAAGCAAACATCTAGGCTGATATGGGTGGTGGGTGCTAAAGAGGAAGCCCCGTGGAAACCTGAGTTAACACAGTGACTCAGTCACTGTACGGTTAGTCACAGAACACGACTAACTGCACTTACTTCTGGCAGGTAGCTGCCTGCCTCTTGTAGGGGCTCCTAGGACAAGGGCGACTTTAGGACTTTCCAAGTAACCCCCAGGCACCTTCTACCAAGTCAAGCTTCATGCCCCTCTTCCTTTCATTCCAGGGACTACTCGTGGCCTTGCAGTATTGCTTTGCCAACGGAGAGGTATGTTTCCCACGCTGTCACCCTAGGCTCCTGCGAGGCTGGGGCTGGCGTCCTACAGTCCCCGGGGATTCCCGCGTCCATGATGGCGCCATGGGGGGAAGTGCAGTGGCCAGCATGTACCGTGGGCATCCAGCAGAGAGAGCAAGAGGCAGCTTAGAGCGGTGGGGAAAGGTACTGGGATGTGCGGCAAAGTCAGAACCCAAACCTGGCCCCGCTGGAGCCTCGCTGGGAGGATCAGAGTGTGATAGAGGGAACCAGCTGGAACTCTGGTGTCCAGAAATCTATTCAAGCCACGACTCACCTACTGAGGGCTCTGAGTTAGTCAGGTCAGTGTAGCTCTTTGAGCCTCAGTTTCCTCATCTGTAAAATGGGAATAATAACTGTCCCTACCCCACACTGTCACCCTGGGCATGCCTGGGAAAGGTCCTATGCCTGGTAACAATGATTATTTTTATTATTTATATTATTGCGTAGCCCCAGCCAGCTCTCTGCACCCTGGGAAACAGGCTTGAAGTGGGGGGGCAGGCAGAGGCCCGAGCAGTTTTCTCCTGACTTTAGGAGTTGGTGGAAATTTTCTGGCTCTCTTTCATGGTCCCCTCTCCCCACCCCAGGTTGAAATATGGATTTCTGTCTCCTCCCTCTAGAATGTAAGCTTCTGGGCAGCAACACCTCTTCCGCCTTGCTCACTGCTGCCTCTTCTGTATCTTCACGCAGGGACCTCTTATCTGCCAGGCAGATCTCAGATGCCACCTCGACACAGTCCTTTTCTGAGTGCCGTTTCTCACACTTTGCCTCTCACCCCGCTGTCCTGTTAACGGCCTCCGGGTGTCACTCCCGCCTGCTCTGCTCACGTGCATTTGTTTGCTTCTCTTTGCTTGTTTCCCCCAGTGAGAAGGTAGGTTTCCCAAGGGTGGCCCAGGGAGGACACTCAAGAAATATTTGCTGGGCCGACACATGGTGCACTGGCTCCAAGACAGTAACCCCGCCCTCTCCTCACCTGGCAGGTGAAGGCCGAGCTGCGGAAGCAGTGGGCCCGCTTCCTGCTGGCCCACCACTCGGGCTGCAGAGCCTGGGTCCTGGAGAAGAACTTCCGATTCCTGGGGAAATGTCCCAAGAAGCTCTCGGAGGGGACCGGTGCCGGGACGCTGGGGAAGGCGCAGCCCTCGTCTGGCGGCAGGCAGCTCCTGCACTTGACCGTGGAGGGCCTGGGGGAGTTGGGCGCCCCGCCCCGCCGCTGCCACGCCGCCTGGCCCCGGGGCAGCAGCCTGTCCGAGAGCAGCGAGGGGGACTTCACCCTGGCCCACACCATGGAGGAGATTCTCGAGGAGAGTGAGATCTAGGCTTGGCTCCCGGGGGACTCCTGAGGCCAGCGGGAAGGAGGCGGCCAAGCCAGACGATGCTGCTGCGGAGCAGAGTCAGCGTCCTCCCGCGCATCCCGCCCGCACTGACACGTCCATCTCCTGGCTCTTCCTGCTCTGTGTGGCAGAGGCTGCGCAAACACTCACCGCTTCTGCCTGCCCTCGTCATCCTCATCACCCCCAAAGGTGTGCTTTCTAGAATGACCCCCAGCCTCGGGGGCTGGCCCTACATTCAAGTGAATGGAGCCCTAGGACACAGGGAGATGTTCGCTGTGAAACAGGCCGACCGCCATCCTTCCTTCACCCTTCACAGTACAAGGTGTGTATCTGAAGTCGAGTTCAAGGTGTCCAAGGACCGCCTGCAAAGCGATTTAAATGCAGAGCCTGAAGCATGGCAGAGATTCTAAGAGACTGTGTCCGGGGCCATGGAATTGTGTAACACGCATCCCAGGTAATCCGGATGCAAGCCCACACTGGGCAGGGTGTGCAGGAGCTAGAAGGCCCTCTGAGCCGGCAGATGGTGGGATACGGCCGGTGCGTCAGCGGTGACGTGCACGCCTTCCTCTGACAGTGTGGACCCCACATCGCCCACCAGAGCCCACTCCTTTCCTTCTCTCCTCTTCCTCTCTTGTCAAGTCCTTCCTTGCTCTCTGCATCTCAGTTCTCATCTGTGGGCCGCAGAAGTTCTATCTGATCCATAACAGCTCCATCCTTCCTCCGAGGGTTGGGCCCTGCTCCCAGGGCTCCTGTGAAGGTTGCCGTTGGTCATTTCCTCTGCTTTCTGGTTCCACTGGCCTTTCCGAGCTCGGCTTCTTCAAGCCTGCCTTGCCTACTGTTCTCTTGACTTGCCCTTGGTGCGTGGATGGCTGTACCTCCTGCTCTGGGAGGTTTGCCCACTGCTCTCCCTGACCTGAGTCTGCACCGGTAAGACTCCGACTCCTCCGATGGGAACGGGTGCTGAAAGCTGGAGGGGACCCAGGTGAAATGCAAGGACTGGGGCTGATCTGGACACACCCAGGGGGCCCTGAGGACCCGTTCTGCTGATGGAGTGCAGGGTGCTTCTGGAGACTGAGGAGGGCCCAGGCAACCAGGGACAGGCTCAGTGGCTGAAACTGTAAGTCTAGAGGCTGAGGAAGATCAAAGGAGGAACATCCTCTGGAAACAGGGTGTCAGTGCTCAGAAGTGTGGCTGTTACAGTATGTAAAAGTATGTGTATGTGGGTGGGTGGTGTGTTGTCATGGAACCAAATGCTGCCCTATGTTAGGGGAAGGGGATGATATGATACCATCAAGTAAGGTTGCCAGATTTAGCAGTCGATTAAATTTGAATTTCAGATAAATGAGTAACGTCATTGTATAAGTATAGCCCATAACTAGCCATAAGTATGTCCCATGCAATGTGCTTTCTCTGAGATTCAAATCTCATTGCACATCTTGTATTTCACCTGGCAACTCTCTGGCCAAGAACAAGTTGCAGCTGGGCAGGGACGAGGGCGAGGCAAGTGATGAACTTGGGATGCAAAATTTAAGAGAGTACTGAAAAAAAAACCCTCCATTGTCAAGATAAGTAACAGTTTAATGCAATATTTTAAAAAATCAAATCTGCAAACTACAGCCTATGGGGCATTTATAAAAATAACATTTTATTGGAACCAGGGCCGGGAGGAGGGTGGGGCAAGTGAGGCCATGAGATGCAAATGCAGGGTCTGGTCCTCACTATTTACAGTTTTGATATTTTGCTCATCATGGACATTTTAAGATTAATTTTTATTTTTAAATGATTGCATCAGAATATTTATCTTGATTACTGAGGTTTTTTTTGGCTCCTGAAGGTCAAAATTAAATTTTGCTCCAGAGGCCAGTGCCCATCTTGCCTTTGCCCTAGTCCTGGCTCTGCTTTGCACCAGGGGATACGGAAGCAATGACATTAGGCAAGTATATAATAAAGTAAAGGTTTTTTGGGAGTGTCCAGATTGTCTGTAGTTCAATCATTAAAATATGCATTCTTCTCACTTTTCTTTTCTGCAAATATCCTGCCATTTCTCATCAGCCCATTAGCTCCTGGAAAGCTGGGGCATCTCGTATTCTCAGCTTGTATTCAGAGCAGGTGCTTAGAACACATTCATCAAATGAGACAAGACAGAAATGTCTCGGGAGCATTGGATGCTGTTGGGGGTCAGTTATCTAGGACCTGGTCACTGATAGAAGGAACTTTAAAAAAAAAGCATTTGTAAATATATTCTCCCCCCTCTACAAATGGGGTGGCGCACACACACCCTACTTGCTCTTGTTCTCCTAATAATTAAAATAACCAGTTTATTGAAGTTGATATGTATTGTTGATTCTTTTATGCTGGTTTCTCACTGGGGCTGCAGGTCTCCACCCCTGGAGAGTCTGGGGCCAGAAGTGGGGAAAAGAGCTGCGGTATTAAGCCTGGGGACCTGGTGGTCCACCATCTCAGGGACCAAGAGGAGTGGGCAGAAGGGGAGGGGAGGGGAGCAGAGGTCAGAGGTCAAAAGGGTGGAGGACAACTGTCTCCCTTCTTCTAGACTACTCTCTGAATTATTCACTTTGCTGTTTCCTTGAAGATCCATCCTGGTGGGTCTCAATCCTGGCATTGCACTTAACCTGGGAAACTTTCAAGAAACACTGATGGCTGGTGAGCCCAGAAGTCTCCCCCCTACCTCAGACCCCGCAGTAGTACCCACTAGCCCCACGGTGAACGCTGGTCTTCCCATGGGCTGCAGGGAAGGCCTTGCGTGGTCTGGCCCCTGCGCACCTTGGAGGCTTAACTCACAATTTGCTCTCCCTTCTCCCTCTGCTCTCCAGCTACACGTGCCTTCTCACGGTCCCGGAACTTGAAATGCTGTTTCCTGCTTTAGGGTCTTGGAGACACAGTTTCCCCATCCTCACCTTTCCCCCAGCCCAGTCCACTGGGTCTTCATTTAAATGCTTCTTCATCCGGAACCCCTTTCCTGACCTCTGGACAGGTCAGCCCCTCCTGTTGTTTCTTCCCACACTGCTTTGCTTGTCTCCACGGTAACTGCATCGCCAGTAAGGGCGTCTTCAAGGTCCGCAGTCCCCTGTGCACCCTGAGCCGGAGGAGGGCAGGGCCAAGTGTGTCTCCTCCGCCACCGCAGCCCCCACACCCTGGCCTAGGACCGCAGTGGCCACGCATTCTGGTCTTTGAGGTTGAACAGACAACTCATCTCCTTTTCTGGTTCAAGAACGACCAGTCAGCCATGTGCCCAGCTCCTCTTGTATTTATTGGAACCTGCTTACCCAACAGTCCACAAAGCAGCTTACACAGGGGCTGATATTTGGGGCTCCTGTGACCTAATCCTGGGATTATCAGGGAGGCCTGGGCTGGCAGGCAGGGGGAGGGGAGGCGGTCAGGTAGGGCGGGCGGGACTCTAGAGACAGAGGGAAGGTAGGACCAGTGAATCGCTAAAGACGCTTCCGTTTGGCAGGGAGCTGTGCTGTGGGTTTACCGGGCTGCGGGTTGGAGGCTCTCCCAGCCCCCGGGATGTGTGCACACGTGTGTTTGTGTGAATGGCGGGGAGAGGGGAGGAGACCTGAGCAGTTGACATCAGGGTTTCTTTTCCTTCAACTTCTCCTTCACTTTTTGTGGCTCAAATTGGATCAGTCGCAGAATTTCCTTATTTGCCAAGGTCCCCTCAATGAATTCTTTCTCTGTAAGTTTATCTGCACAGGGGGAAAAGACCACAGTTAGGACAGGCTGCTTCCAGCTGTGATGAGGCTGACATCGGCCAGCAGGCCCAGGATGGATGGATCTATTCTGAAAAGACTGAGTCTCAGTGCCCCTGGGGGTACCCCCACCCCTCACTCCTCCCCAGGACCCCTGATCTCCCCATGAATGGACAATGAAAGGGTTAATGACAGGCACGGCAGGGCCTCCTGGGTGTGGTCTAGTGCTGTGTCTCTTCTGACTGGTTGGCACCTCCGCCTTGCTGGTTAATGAAATATTTTGAATGTGACTCCAGGTCTCCAACCTCACGCTCCGCTCCGGGGGAGCTTCTAGGGGACTGGGCAAGGAAAAGAGAGTCTCAGTTAAGAAGAAGGGTTAGGGGTCCAATGTGTCCCAAGGAGAGGCTGGCTTATGAGGTGGCTCTCCACCCTGCTCCAAGCTCCTGGGCAGTCCCCTGATTCTTGGCTGACAACCCCTCCGTGGTCCTTCCCTGCGCTTCTCTGCATCCTCAATCTACCCCTCCTTGTTTGGGACGAGAGAGAGCCTCCAGCTATTGAATTCAGTCCTATCTAGTTAAATGCACGTCACAGAGCCCTCCCTCCGTGCCAGAGCCACTGTGCTTGGGGCTGAGGTCATTGCAGGGGGCAGAGGGTGGGGTGTGGCATGGAAGGGAGTGAGAAAAGGTCCCTGGCCCTGGGAAACTGTTGGTCTGATGGGGAGACAGTCACCTGTAGAAATGACTCTAGAATGAGGCAGGTGCTCCTTCCTGTTTATGGCTATCCTCATAGTCCTGCACGTAGTAGGTGTTCAGTAAAGCTTGGCTGAACTCACTATTTACAATAGATAGTGGAAGCAACCTCAATGTCCATCGACAGGTGACTGGATGAAAAATACTACTCAGCCATAAAAAGAATGAAATCATGCCATTTACAGCAACATGGCTGGACCGAGAGATGATCATACACAGTGAAGTTAAATCAGACAAAGATAAATATCACACGGTATCACTTACATGTGGAATCTAAAAAAAAAATGACACAAATAAACTTATTGACAAAACAGAAACAGACTCACAGACACAGGAAAAAAAACTTAACGGTTACTAAAGGGGAAAGGAGGGGACGGATAAAGTGGGAGTTTGGGATTAGCAGAGACAAGCTACTATATGCAAAGTAGGTAAGCAGCAAGGTCCTCCTGTATGGCACAGGGAACTATAGTCAATAGCTTGTAATAACCTAAAATGAATGAGAAACCTGTGAAACTGAATCACTACGCTGTACAGCAGAAACTAACACACATTTTTAACCAATTATAATTCAATTAAAAAAAAAAACCTCAGCTGAACTGAACTGGGTTTCCTTTGGCTTATGTCCCAGGCCTTTGGGGCAATCGTAATCATTCCTGGGTTAGGAGCCAGGCTGCTTCCCGGTGCAGGTCCGGCTGGGGAAACTGGGTTTTAAGGTTCCAGCTGCCCTGTCAGCCTCGCACAGAGCTTGAAGTCCCACCCTCAGAACCTGATGCTGGAGTGAGGTGTTGTCTCCAGATGGGCTGTGTGGAAACACAAGTCACCGGGCACGAGCGCGCGTGTGAGCCCCCAACACCTCCCTCCCTACTGTGACTGTGAAATTCACCTGGGGCAGTTTTCCAGTTAGCAAGTAGCAGAACAAGGGACTCAGCACGTGGCAGACCCCGAGGGACGTCACGAAGGGGGCCAAAGAGGGGCGAGGAGCCTCAGGGTGGAGCCTTAAGAAGCCAGGGTCTGGGCAACGGAGGAGAGGATGCTCGAAGGGGAGATGACAGCTGGGGGAGGCACGGGAAGGGCCTACCCTGCAAAATCTGAGGAGGTGCTCACTTTCAGGGTCGTGTGAGCACAGGGCTGGCACTGACAACAAGGGCCGCCTTCCATTTTGTGCCTGGGCACCTCCTTGCGTTGCCCTAATTCTGGCCCTACCATCAAAGACCTCGTTGCTTCCCGACTTCCTCCTGGACCGCAGAATAGTAGGGCCCTTATTTAGGGTCCTGCTCAGACCTGTGCCAGGGAGCCCCGTAAAAGGCTGCCCCAGAGACCACAACAGGGGCCAGTCCTGGCTCCGCAGGTGGCCTTGGGCCATGCAGGCCGTCATCAGCGGAGGCGCTTCAGAGGTTAAAAATCTTGACCGCAGGGGTGAGGGGAACAGCTCAGTGGTAGAATGCGTGCTTGGTGAGCATGAGAAAAAAAAAAAGAAATCTCAATTGCTGGCTGACTCTTTTTAAAACAATCAGATCACGAGACACCAGCAGCCCCGCACCCCCACGTGGCAACAATCGATCAGAGGCCATCAGACCAGACAGCCCCTCCCCACTGTTCGCCAGGCCCTCACTTACTGGGCAGCCGCTCACCTGTTCATCCTCCCAGCCCCGGGGGCCATTCAAGTTTGCCGCCCCCGTCTGACACCAACCCGCCTCTCGTGTCCTTCCTGAGCTGCACGTGGGCACCCTGCATTAGCAGCCGCCTTTCAGTGCCAGACCACGCTGCTTCCAGCCAGACGGAGCAGGGCAGGGAGCCACGACAGACCCGTTCCCAGGAGCAGGGGCTCGAGGACGCCCCATCGGCTTGGCCAAGACCTTCTTAGCCCACCGCTGCAGTCTCAGACTTTGCTTAAGCCCAAACTGCCTCCTTGCCTCTGCCCAGAGGTGTTTGATCTACTTTGCAGCCCGATGGCTCCTCCAGCCTCCTCCAGATCCCTCCCCGTTTTCCCTCATAGGCCTTCCCCCCCATCAATATCTTGCCATCCAATTTAAATCTAACCCCATCTGGTGCTGCCTCTCGTGGGCTCCAAACTAACTTCCTAAAGTAAAACCGTTTAAATCCAGATCCTGCTTGCTTGGGACTGGGTGCTCATTCAGATGGAGACTGAGCTGAGGTGTGCCCTGTCCTAATTGTGCAGAAGGCCTTTTTATAAACAAGTAAACCAAAGTGTCTTTGAAGGAAAAAAAAAAGGGGGCACTCCATTTAAAAAGAAAGCCATTCGCAAAGTCTCAAAACTCGCCATTTGCCTACAAACTGCTCCTGAGCTGTGCCCTTTCCTGGTTACTATTCCCTCAATGTGGGTGAACTCTGTCGTAACGAAAGAGGTTTTTTTCCTTCAAAAGCACAACATCATTTAGAGCCTTGCTTCTCCCCAAGGGCATCTCAGGCAGCAATGGAGTTTTACAAGCAGTGGGAGGTGGTACTGTTTCCCGCCAGCTCCAGAGTGGGCGTACGCACGACTGCCTGTGGACCATCTTGTCACCACCCCCAAAGGCCCGTCAGGCAGCCCTGCAGTGGGCGGAGGTGGCCTCTGTCCTGCCTGGGCACCAGACTCGGAAGGATAAATCTGGCTAGGCTTTCTGGGAAACAGCCCGGGACTGGAACAAAGGCTAGGAAGCAGAAGGAATTTACCGTCTTCCTTCTTGCCAAAGAACCCCCAGACCTTCTCGGCTCGCTTCTCCGGGGTGTTTTCATCATCTGGAAGTTGCTTCACGTCCTCAGGGCT